TGGAAGACTTTTTTGCTTTCCAATAGGAATTTGTCTTTGTAGCTTTTGTAGAGCTTTCGACGGTACATCTTTTGAAAAAAAGATTAAGATTTTATCATTTCCTCAAGCTGAGACACATGCAAAACAAAAAGATCTTCCAAACATTTTTTAATACGCACAATGTGATGAGAAGTAGTACCATCATGTAAGTTTTTCATTTTGTGTATGGCAGAAACCATTAAAACAAGTCAATAGGAATTTGCTATTACAATTTTTGGAGATCTTTTCACGGCGCATCTTTTTTAAAAAAATTCACGATTTTATCATCTACCTAAGCCGAAATATAGATATTTTGGCAGATCCGGAATACAAAAAAATTTTAAAAATAATACATCATCGTGTTGTTACAGGTTCTCCTCTATAGTACAACTTATAGACCTCAAACTTTGTAGTTATGTGGCACTACATATGTGCAATAATAATATCAAAGTTTCAAAGAGTTTACGTTTGTTGAATGTGAGAACGATGAATTTTAAAATCGTTTCAGAACTTCCGGAACACGCTTTATACATATATATATATACCTGTTCAATTCGAAAAACTCTTGAATATGAAATACAATAAGAAAAACAAACCTCAGTACTAAGAAAAAGACGACATGAAAAACTACTGAATGATATTTTTGTTATACGATGCTTTCATGGTTAGTTAACCACGAAAAACAAAAACTATTCAGAAAACTTTTGATTTTATCAAACTTTGCAAATCTTTTTTCGTTGATCATTTTGGCAAAAAGAATTTTGAATTTCATTGAGAAATGACGATATTATAGTCAAAATATTAAATATTATGAAATATCGGATGTCCGAAAACGTTTGCAACATAGTTGATTTAGCGAATATTTCGGCATAAACAAATGATAAAATCTTGTTTTTTCTTTCAAAACATACGTCGTGAAAAGCTCTACAAACACTGTAAGAACAAACCTTATTGACTTCTTTTGATGGTTTCTTCCATACTCAAAATGAAAAGAAAATGCATGATAGTGCTACTTCCTACCGTATTTAACATAATAAAAATGTTTGGAAGACTTTTATGTTCTGCGTGTATCTCGGCTTAGAAAAATGATAGTATTTTGACTTTTTTTTGCAAAAAGATGCGCCGTCAAAAGCTCTATAAACAAATTTCTATTGCACAAAAAAGTCTTCCAAATATTTTTATTATCATTTTGTAGTTTTTTATGTCATTGTTTTCTTAGTACTGATGTTTGTTTTTCTTATTGTATTTCATATTCAAGAGTTTTTCGAATTGAACAGGTGTATATATATATATAGTACTCGATCTCTGCTATCCAAACATATAATTGAATTAAATCAATGTTGTGTTGTTTTAATACACGAATCAAAAGAAAAAAGTGGGACCAGCCTTTTGACTCGAACTGTAGACATAACAAGATAAACAAGAATGTTCCGTTCAATAGTAATTTCAGTATCTAAACATCAAACTATCATTTACCTGGATCACTAGAAAAGCTTTTTTCACCCATTGTAATGCTTAAAACATATTTAGAATTATGTGCAAAATATCAGCCTTCATGTCTTATGGATGCCGTGAGTTAGACTAGTTTTGTCATATATTGGATTTTGTCATCGATATCAACATTGTACTTACATGAAAAATCATTGTACAAAACTATTCACCTGAAAGTTCAAATTCATGTCGGAAATATTATATAACCATAAAAGAAATGAAAAAATACTATCACATATAAGACCTAAAAGACTGACACTTTGCAGATAATTCTAAATATGTCAAAACATCTATAATAGAATAGTTCAACATCAATAATGAGTTCTAGGGAAGTCGAACGAAGAAAGTTTTCTGGTAGTCCATGTGTATGACTTATGTTGAACAATATTTAATTCGCCTTCCCCTTAAAAAATATATCTTGGACCAGGCATATTCAAATCATATTAAATTTTCGCAATATGTTGCGATTTTAGTAGTGGCTAAGCTAAAATTTTCAGCTTTATACCACGACGTTTTCAAGAGATATTCCATAGACAAAAGTAAAAAATAGCTCATTCGGTGACCTGAAAATCCTTTTGCTCCGTTATTCCATATATTAAATTTTTTTATTTTGGAAGAGCTTATCAGATTGTAATACCTAATACAGTCTCTTTTTTTTTTTAATTCTTAATTTTTATGCAGAGAAACAAGATGACAGTGTAATAATATTTCAAAAACAGTCATCTATTTATAGACGTGCATTTCAATATAATAATAAAGCTTAATTAAAAAAACGAGCTCTGTCAGGCACTCCAGTTGCACATGTTCTTTTAAACGCAAACAAAGGCAATTGGGTACAATTACGCTTTTTCGAGAATTTCTCTATGCATAATCAAAACAGCCTAAGCAGAAAAAAATGAAAAAGCTTTATCACTTTCTCTGAAAAGAAGTATATTTCTCAAGCACAAGGTGATGATGGAAATCATCAAAAATTTTTGTGAAAAAACGACAAATCAAATAAAAAAATTCAGATTATTTGTCAAAGATCCGACTTCTAGCTGTCTCCCTGCACATTTATTTTAACTTCAATTAATCTAAAGAAGATGGACTTTTTGACGGAGACTTATTAGTGATTAAATTAGTCCTGTGTTGTTCACTGTGATTGTAAGCATTGAATTATACTCACATATGCCGAGTTGTTAGTTAGTGTACTATTCAATAGAAACAGTGACAGAAATATTGGTTACTAATTATAATGTGATAATCGTATATAAACTATGAATTTTTGAAAGCAATATATTCATTATTTTAGACTTTATTCGATTACAATGGTTTATGTTTATATATTTAATACCGAAAACTTTTGTTCAATCGCGATTCATGCACAGATAATTATTTCATTTTTATTTATAGAGAAAAGTACATAATAAATTCAAATAGCGAGAAAAGAAACCATCGTATTAACAAGTATAGTGTTCCTTTAAAGTATTAATTAATAAAACGATATACATCCTATTTAAATGTTTAAAAACAATGAATTTCTGATGATATATTGAAAAACAAGACACATCAAAGTGTAGTAGTAACTTGTTAAATAAATTGTACTCAATCGGATTTATGTCATATCAATTTAATAGCTATTATTTTAACAAATCAAGACTATCCTAATTACCATTTATTAAATAATTGAAACACTTTCATGACTGTAACGAGCTACTTTCAAATATATATAATTAGTATCGTTGGTGTATCACATTGAATAACAAACTTACATAAAGAAAAGCAAACAGAAAAAGAAATCCTTCCTGACGTCAAAGAATATTTGAAGAGAAAAAAACAATTATTCATTGTTGCTCATACATTGAGAACGACAATGTTTAAAAATTTACTATCGACATATATATCGTCAAAAATAATAAATAACATTTAGTGTAGTGAAAACATATATATATATATATACATGTAAATAGAAAATGCACGATGATGTTTGTAATTGTCGACAATAATGATGATTATTTATGCACGTTACAGTTAATTATAACTTTCGTATATGATTGTCATGTGCAATTCAACGTCAGAAAAATATGATTTAGCTTTCTGTTTTCTTATTTCATACATCTGTGTAATATCTTCTAAATCTATTATTTTAGTTTCAAAATATAGTATTGCAACTCATTGGAAGATCAATGACGAGATATGATATGACAAGCGTTAATTCTTTTCTCTTTTTTTATCAATCTAAAACTCTATGAACTGATTATAATCAATGCAGTCAATTCAGTTCATTTATTTATTCTGTTTATCAAATTTACAACTGAATTAAAATATTAAATAAGAAGTTAACTGTCAATAAGATTATATTCCAAATTTATTTTCGAACTTCAATAAATTCAGAATTGATTTAAGACAAATTAAAAATCGATTTCTTTTTATATATAACTTATCTAAAGATAAGTATGTATTTCAATTGAGATTTTTTAACTACTCCCATCGAATGAAATTGAATTAGTGTCGATATTTTTCACATAATTAGACAACTTAGTACAAAATTAAATTATTCGACTTAAACAAAATATTCATATTAACATAATCGATATAAGTATTTAGTATTTTTAACAATATTGAATTATATTTGCTTTGAAAAAAGCTTATCTCAACTTTATTCAACAGATTTATCGACAGTAATTTTGTATTATTGGCTTTTACTACGAACAAATAATCGACATATTTTTTTTATTTCACATATAGTGTACCGTATTAGGAATAGACACATGACATTTAATGGGCGTGAACCACGAAAGATAGAAATTCATTAAAATATAGGATTGAGTTAAAAGACAAAGACAATACTGAATATGAATAAGAGACAACATGTCATGACTTTGTGACAATATATATTTGCTAATTGATGTATTTGAGTTATCCTATATAGTAATCAACGATTACTGTTGATTCTATGTATTGTGTTAATTGCGAATATTGATCATTTTCATGATATATACCAATAAAATGCTGTAGAGGTGAGAGATTTTCATTAAACTAAATAGATTCATTTGTTCTTCTATTATATAATGCTCAGAAATGTTTACAATTTTGTGCTAATACGAATAAAAAAAAGAGTTAATAAAATTACAATAGATTTTCTCTCAAAATGTTATGCAAAATTATCCACTAGAGTATTATACAATGGAATTTTTCTTTAAAACTATAAATATTTTATTTTTTAAATATAATTATTGTTCAGTATACCCAATGCAGACAATAAAATAGTATTCGATAAAACTTTATTGTCATATCAAAATATAGATATTTTTTGGCATAAAATAAATCCGTATTGTCTCCAAAAGAATATATCTATCTATCAAGGAAAATTAGAAAAAGTTTTAACAGATGAATTTATATGATTAGAAAATATTCCGTAATCATTTTATTTCAATATTTGTACCAATTTCAACATAATGTTGTGTATTTTTTTTTCTTTACTTTAAGACAAAACAAATATATATTTTTGTTCAATCTTCGTTGATTAATGACGATAAATGACGTCGAACTCGATCTCGTTTGGTAAATGTAAGTTTTCCGTTTTGACCAATAATTGGTCGAAGACTGGCTTTTTTATATAAAACATTAGGATGATACCGTAATGAGGCTCGTCGAAAATCTTGATGATGAAGACGATGATGTTGAATAGGTAATGTTTCATAAAGACCATCACCAAACTCAATATCATTCAATTCATAATTGTCATCAATACTTGTTGTCAATGGAATTTGACAAAAAATGAAAACTAAAACATATGAAAAAATAATAGAATAAATCTATATTTTTCAATTATAAAACTATACGTGTAAGTACTAAAAAGCATTTGATTAAAGTTGACATGAAAACCATGGTAGTATTTGTAGACGAATACTTACAGCTAAAAGAATAAAATTATTTATTTCTTGTCTCTTCTTTTTTAAATGCTGATGTCAATGTCACAATCGAAACGGTAGATATATAGGCGTATTTTACAAGCAAGAAGAAAAAATAGAGAAAAAAATATAGCAAACTGATAGATGAACATAGCTACTTGAACGGAAAAGGCGGAGATAGAGTCTTACGACAAAGATGACGAAGAAAAGTCTATGTTATCTAGAAGCTAAAATTTGACATTCAATGATTATAATAACTAGGTTGTCGTTAAATTCATATGATTACATTGTTTTCTTTTTTTTGTCTCTCGTTTTCTTGGTAAGATAAGAAAAGTGAGTTTTGTAAAGCTCGTTTAAGTATAAAATTTGTACAAAGAACAACATTTGATATGCCACTCTAATTATTATACGAATGGGAGCGCACAAATTGTGCTCTAATTGTGAATCAACATTAATGAAGTCGGGTCAAATAAACTAAAATCGAAAACACTCTTAGAAGAAAAAATGAGATAAATTTTTGATTACATCAGATAAAAAGATTTAATATTCAAATTGAAATTATAATAAAAATTTTATAGAGTGAAACAAATATATAGTCAAATATTATCTTTAGCGATGTTCTTATGAATATTATTGTTTATTAGATGAAAACTCAACTTCATAATAGGATCATTTTTCAATTGTTTTATTATATTAGAAATGTTTTATCTTAAAAATCCAAATTCTGAAACATATAGAGCTGTCTATATAGTTTTTATGAAACATTTAAGGTCTTATGTGCTTATGTAACGCAAACTCTATATAACAGGTTACAGTTGGAAAGAGCACAAAAAGTATCATCAAATAAAGTGTTTTAAATGTTGATAACAAGTTCTTTTTTATCGACTGTGAAAAGTTTTTCATTTTTCTTTAGTAATATCAGTTAAATGAAGTATTAGAACTACTTATGGCAACTTTTGAGACCCTATAATTATTTTTATCTTTGAGTCTAATAGTACATCAAATTCTCTACAAAGTTATGTCCTTGGGAACTATCAAACACGTGAGTTTAAGATGACTCTGATGATTCTTTCGAAACCTCTGAGAACAATAACTCATTATGTGCTTAAATTCACTGTTGTTATTGAGTATGATGCAGCTATTCGAAAGACTGATTCAACTTCTGTTATATTCATGTATTTAATAGTTTCGAAATACATCATTTGTTAGAGACTTTGGTGCATTATTAAACTCAATTACAAAAATAATTATAGAACCTCAAAGTTTGGTTATTCATTAAACTGTTATTAAAATTTATTACAGCCAATGGAAAAAAAAACTTGCTATCTATACTCAAAATACTTTAATCGATACAAATCTCTGTAGTTTTCTTAACAGCGTAGTTTGATAGAAAGGGTATGTTGCAATAACTACAAAAAAGATCTAGATTCTTCATGAAAACTGCATAGACAACTTTGTAAATTTTAGGACTTGAATTATGAAGGTTATTTGAAAACAAGGTCTTTCAAAGTAGACATCTTTGAAAACAAAATTGTTAACTGTCATGTTGAACAAAGCATAAATGAACGTATGTAATTTGTTCGGAAATGTTTTCCCAGTCGAGAAATTAGTTAAGTCTTAATTTGAACACAGACACTGAAATCTTTTTGGTCTCGTCATATGCAATTAGTAACGATAGATTATGTCTGAGTATATCAATCATTAAAACTTTCTTATTATGTATCTCTAGACAGAATAAAAAAACAGCATGTCAAAAATTTTCGAAAAAAAAACCTGTTTTTGTCATCAAAGGATAATAGCTTACTCAACTGTAATTATGATATCTTGAATGGTGAAGTGAGTGAAAAAATAGTTCGTCGTAAAAGATTATGTTCAAGATGATTAAATTTGAATGATTGTCATGGTATTTGTATTTTGAGTCAAAATTTTCTTTTTTTTTTCTTTTATCTAGTCCACTGCTCCTTTACATTAATATATTAGTGAAAGTCTTATTCATATAAAATATGAATCGTTTTTCATATCGGGCAACAAGTTTATCATAAAACACAACAAAACAGAGTCAATAAGTTCGAAAGTGATTTTTTGCTTGGAGCAATATTTTTGTAATATAAAAGTATTTTTAATGTTTGATTAACTACCGACAATAGAAAATAAATTTGAAAAGAATATTCTTAGATAAAATAAAATTACTTAGTTCTTCCTTTTTTTAATGTTCTATATAAAGAGTTCTTATCAACTCATTTTAACAAAGAGTTCAGTAAATCGGAATTACACTCAAAAAATATTTTCTATTTCCTTTTATATTTACCGTTTTTAAGTATTCTAATATATTTATTTTAGAGACTTTCATTCAATACAAGAAAATTGTCAGATTCAATTGAAAACATCACAATAATTTGTCAAAAATTAGTTTATATTTGAAGAATAATCGTTAATATCGATTTAAATTTGTTAACAATCTCAGAGTAATTCATGATGTTGAGATGAAACCTCTAAGAACAATCAGCTTTGAATAGTCTGATAGCAAAGAAAAAGCTGGACGATCATACAATCAAATTATGAACATTTATACCCGTAGATCAACATCTAACTGTTCACATATTTTTTATTAATAACTTTAAAATTCACTATATTGAATAGATGTTTTCACGAAATTTAGGATTATTTGCAATAAAAGACAACAGAATCTCTAGCATGATTCTAATTTTTATACTTGGTGAGCCGAAATTTTGCTACTTCAACCTTAACAACTTGCCTAAACCACATTTGGACTTTTACAAATAAAAAAATTGTTAAAACTTCGAGAGAAATCAGACAAATTGTCGAAATTATAGAGTTTCACTAATATTCTTGTTACTGTCTACTGCGACGACTCAATGGTAAGTCAGAATTTCGACAATCTTTTTTACTATAGAGATTTTGAAGAGTATGGAACAGCAGTGCCGAAATTTTACACAACTATAAAAGAAACCTGATCAAGAGAGATATTAAAATTAAAAAAGAATTATTGGCTTCCTAATACCTATATATGTGGTATATGAGGTATAATCTAAATTGCAATGAAAATATTATACTGTCAACTATAAAAATAACAAACAAACATTATTAAAAGATGAACAGCATTAGAATAGCCTCATAACTGTTGTCTAGGAGACTAAGTGTTGCTTTCATCTTCTTAGAAAATATTTTAGCAAGAAAAGAATAAAAAAAGTGTAATAAAAGTGACTATTCTAATGTCACTAGTATATAAAATATACTCATAATTTGATTGGTCTTGCGTATAAAAATAAATGAGAAAGAAAAACGTAATGAGTACTCAATAAAATTAAAATATAATTATCATTTATGAAAAGAACATTTGCCCTGGATCTAATGAGAGAATCTATAAGAAAATAAATCAACTATACATACGATTATTTCAAACTTTATTCATTTTTCATATAAATATACATGATTCGAACAAAATAAACATTAACAGAATTAGCATGAAAAAATCTTCTCAGGAGTTTAAAAGTTCATTTATCTTTTGCAGAAATCCTGGAATATTTCTCGAAAAGCTAGCGTTAAAATGAAAACTAACTTTCATATAGAATATTTTTCTTTTTCAAAGATTAGAGAATCTACACAAGAACTTCTATTTATCAATTCATTATTCTTGTTCTAGATCGCAATTCAAGTATAATAATTGACTAAAATAATTGATTATAAAAGACATACATGTTCGGAAAACGAAGTATTATAACTCGGCAATAAAATCATTAGCGAGAAAAACAATGATGTGAATTACCTCAACAATACAACAATCGAAATTGGCCAATAATAAGAATACTAATGCGAAGCTAAAGTTGTTAACACAAAACAAATCTCTTTTGTATTGTTATATGATTGATCATCTGTAATCATTTGAGTTATGAATTATCAATAAAATCCGTTCTTCTACTTCCATCTGATAGAATGTTAGGCTTTAATCAACATAGAAAATATATTCATCAGAATTCTTAGTTCGATGTTCATTCTTTTTATTCGTGTATTTGTCATCGATTATTGATGAAAATTCTTCATTCGAATTTATTTATTTATACATTATTTTTCTAATTAAAATAAGCAAATAAATCTCATTTTCGAATGTTTTCTTTAAATATTTTATTCAATTTAAATTAATTAAAATATTATATAATATTAATAGTAGTAGTCGTCTAACTATCATAACTGATAAATAGAAATAAAATAAAATCATGTGCATAATTCTTTTTTTTCTTTGCTGATAAAGAAGAAGAAGGCGAAGATGAAAAAAACGAGAATCATTCCTAACAATAAGTGATTCACTAGAAGAAAACTGCAAATAAGATGATATAAAAGAAAAAAACAGCACATTTTATGTTTACAACAAAGATATTTTCTTTTTTTTTACAATATATTTAACCAATAATTTCATTATATCTAATCTCAAAGTTATTTCCCATTATAAACATTGGTATGCATAAATGCACCAACAACGCGCACAAAATGTGTTAGACAAATAAACAATTTATGTCAACTAAATGTTTCCGTTAGATCTTTTATAAAATGATTGATCATGTCATAATGAATGAATATTCAAATTAATTCATTATATATTCATTGAGCTTTGACTATGAATGACAATTTCACTATATAAACATTTTCTATTGTCAACAAGTATTAATACTTATTTTTTTAATGTGATATTTTCTAGATGACCTTGAGAAAAATCTTTGATATCAAATTATTTAATTTGATATCTCGTAGATTAGTTAAATCATTTGCAAAATATTTTAGATATTCAATACTTTTAGATTGTAAAATAAATGATCTTATTAGAATTAACAAAAAATATTGCTAGTATTTCAATATCATCTGTATTACTTGATAAAACGGCGTAAGAAAAGAAATATGATGAAATATATTTTTTTCTAAATTTCGTTCACTTTAG